CTGTTATGGCTGAATGCTTTGCTCTGAAATTCTCATCTGACTAAACACTTCTCATCCAGAGTATCTAGATTTTCCCCCTAGAAATGAGGCTGTATTGAGCGAGATGAGTATAACCCTTTTGATGGTACTGAACATATTCTCTATATTAGACTCTCATAAAGCAAGTGGTGGTGACAGGATATCAGCCGTAGTCCTAAAGAAATGAGCTCCTGAGATGGCTCCAATTCTCTCCAAATTATATAACTATTGCCTCACTGTCTCTTGCTTTCCAGCCTGTTGGAAGTCCTCATCTGTTGTCCCTATTTTTAAGAACTCTGGAGACCCTTCTGATCCATCTAACTAGTGCAATTATAGAAAAAAAACGGACATTTGAAAAAACATTTTAACCCTTGAGGAGTGGACATGGGCCATGAAACTGTATAGTCATGAGAAAAATAATTAAAAAAATGGATATTTACAGTAAGTAAATTTTGCAATTTTAAAAAAAAATTATTTATGCTCTATTATCTATTGAGTTTCCTGATTATTCTTATATTAGCTTCTGACTTACTCGGGAGATATCTAGCACAAATTGGTAAAATGAAGAAAATATATGAATTCTCCATGATTTGATTGATGATTAGTAACTTGCTCAATTTGTTACTTGCTACAAATTGCTTGTTCATATATCCAAAACCAAATTTTAATTCCCAAAAGATCCTCTTCATTGCTTGATGTTGCTATAATAGAGTAATTTATTGCAGTCTCTTATAACCAAATCAAAACATCATGGCAGAATACTAGTGTTGTGGTTTGGAATTGATGTTATCAAAAGTTGCAAACATTTTGGCCAGCAGTGCTGAAGAGGAGGGGGCTAATTATGCTTTAGAGTAATGCAATACCTCATATTTCACAAACTACCCAGCAAAAAACATGCAATTAGGTACTGAGGTCAATCCCCTAACCTACCTGACTAGATGCATTTCCTACTATTACCACTTTTTCTAGGCCTTATATAGTAGGTCTACACCAATGTGGCCTGAGTTGAAAATGCCTGCTGGCTTTTTATTACATTGGAATAAATTCACTGTTGGATTGTTGTCAGTATTGCGTAAATTGTAATGGTGCTTATTTTTACTAATAAAGTCATGTTTGAACTAAATTTCAAATGTTGTTATTCAGAATTAACATTTATTGTTCCAACCTAAGACTAAGCAACTCGCATTGAGGTGTGAAACTGACAGTCACTATGTAGTTTTAATTCCTATGTCTGCAATGTCAATTATAAATTTTCTATCTGATACTGAGCTCTCTTCCCCTATAAATATACAAATTGTAAACAAAATTAAATATATGAAATATATATATATATATATATATATATATATATATATATATATATATATATATATAATACATCAATCAACCAAACTAAATTAACTTCATACAAATGTTGCATTTTATTTCTTTTGTTATATACTTCCTGAGATATGTTTTTTTGACTAACAACTTTCTACTTTTGAAATATTAATAATGTGAATTAGTCATATAGGTTGCTCTATTTTGTTTCGCAAATGATCCACCACTATCTCTCTCTCACTCACGCGTTCACACACACACACACACATATATATTAAACATCTGCTCATAAGAAAACTTATTTTAAAAAAATCAAACAATAACATTGACTGATATAAATAAGAAAGCAATATTAAACATTATTAATATTTGCTAAACACTTTTAGTCTTTTAAAAAGTCAAATTAATGCCATTTAGTATATCAGCTTAGAATTATTTCCTATTTTCTGTTAACTGTTTGTAAACTAAAACATTGAAATGTATGATAATGCTTTAAAAAAAAAGATCTATAGAATTAAAAGTATAGCAAGCATTTAAACCAATATTTGAAGGTGAAATCTTGTTTTTTAAAATAATTTTTTTCAAAAACAAAGTGTGAGAGAAATTTAAATAAAAACAACAAGAGAAATAGAGATTTAGCTTGGCAGGAAGGAATTGATTGACTTGTTTTATTTTTGTTTTTTGAGAAGAGATTGCTTAATTCTCTCTAGGGTGGCTATATAATTGCATGTATTACAAATCTTTTCCATGTCTGAGAAAACCAGTTGTAGGAGTTAGATTACTATTCAATGGCCAGGAGTCATCCCAGGTGAACCACTTCCTGTACACCTAGCTTTTTTCTTTTCTTTCTTTATTATGGTTTGCAATGTTTATTCTGATATCATACCACACTCACAAAGCATATATATCTATACATATACAGTTGCATTAGAGACAATGCACGCAAAGCAAATTGCTTCCTCTATCACTGAATACGTAAAGCAATGATTTTTGTCTTCATTTCTCAAATAATCAAATTATTATTTATCATAATGGTGAATGTTTTGTGGGGCCAGATTGCTAGCTTGATGCCCAAGATGAACAGCCTGACAAAGCTAAAGTGCTCAAGCTGAAAGGAGAAATGGATTCTTACCTTTCCTAAGAGTATTAGTGTGAAATGACTGGCAAGATTGGTGCAGGGTGGGCCAACTGGAGACAGAACAATGAACAGGGTCAGAGTAAGAGTAACATTTAGCAAACCACACAGCAACAGGGTCATAGAGGCAATAGTGGCTGGAGGTATAGTTATGGGTAAAATGATAAGAATGCAACCAGATTACTATTTATGATAATGGACATTTATATAAATACAAAACAGCAAATACATTGTTATCAAACCAGTGTAGACATGAAATTCAACTTGTGAAATAAAGTCCTCAGTATTCTTCTGAAATAGTGTATATAGTTTTTCCTTTTTTTTCTGTTACTCCGAATGAGTCCTTAAAAATTAGTGTCTTGCAAACAGTGTAGCTCCAAGGGATTTAGAAATATTTTTTGTCCAAAAGTTAAAGAAAGTTTGCAGTCTTTGTAGTCGGATTTTGGTAAACTTTTATACTGTGTCAATGGATGATTGGCTGTTTTGCTAACATGCTTGTCACGGTTGTCTCTCTAGTGGGCTGACCAGGAAAAAGAGGTAAAAGAGTTACATTGCTCCTAAGCTTCTGGTGAGTAGAACCAACCATGTTTACCACAGGATAAATAGTTAAGTTATACAAATAGTGTAATGGATATTGGTGCAGAAAGGGAAATCAGCAAATCAAATTCAAGTTTCGGATGTTGGTTTCCATTCATACGAATGACTACAAAACACATCCCCCTTCCCAAATACACAGATGCATGCTGGGGTTTCTTCCTAGACAATAAGATAGGCCACTTATTGGCCTCATCTGACTCAGTTCTGTTCTTTCTTGTCTTGAAGCCAGAATGCTGTGATCACTTGTCTGAATCCCCTTTTGTATGTTAACATCATTCTTAGTTTTAAACTTTTTGCCTTATTACTGTTGCTTTGCCTTGCATATATTGTTTGCTTGCCTGATATTATTTTTTGCCTTGTTTTTTTCTTTCTCTTATTGTTTATCAATTCTGTTTATTGAGCCTTTCTACTAATTACATTTAAGCATGGTGACTTACTCTACACCGGACTACTCTGTTGCATTCAATAATAAAGTTCTTGGGAAAGCATGAATTCATCATTTCTTTCTTCTATGGGTTAAATAGCAGTGTAGGCTGGATCTTCTGACCTTGATAGGCAGCTAATCTAAGAGAAAGAAAACTCAAATTGTGGAGAAGGCAACAGGAAATCACTCCAAGAAAGCATGGTAATTTACAGATAATAACTAAAAGGAATATGGGGAGTCATGATAGCCTACAACCTATATAAGCTAAAAGGAATAAATTATTTTTTACTTTAAAGGCTAAAATGTAACCACGCTATAAACTAAAGGGGTAGATAGGTTTACCTATTGACGGTTTACACTCCTCCTTGGTCTTTTAAATAGGAGTAAAGATTTATCCCTTGTTTCCAGTTTAGGATTGGGTTTCTAGTTCCTTCTAAAGTCTACTTCAACTCTATGCATCTAATGTCTCTGACTGAGCTCTGAAATTGTATTTACTAGTTTGTTTTTTTTCTTCTCTTCCAATACAAGTAGATAGGTTTACAGCTACTGGACTTGAGAAACCTGTTTTCCTAAAATATTGTTTTAAGAGAAAGATTTATTGCTTTATTCAGACTAATTGACACAAAACAAAATCTAACTTGGTTAGGATCAAATTCACTAAGTGAAACTAGTATGCTTTTCACTTCTATATGAAAAGGTGCTTGATATAGACTATATGGTAATACTAAAATAGGTGTAGAGAAGAAACAGAACCTATGATGAATTTATAAGCAAAAAAGGAAAATTCTGATCAGAATAAAGAGAAGCCAGAATGGACAGGAAGAAAAATAACAAATTTATATTTTACAAAAGTCACTTAATTCATTCAAGCTTAAAAAAAAAACAAGAAATTATTAAGACTGAGAGAAAAAGAAAAATTTCTTTAATAAATACTAAGAAAATGTTTAGAGAATAAAGACTATTAGATAAAAATATCAGAGAGAGCGAGAGCGACAAAGAGAGAGGGTAAGTTTCCTGAGAGGGTGACATGCAGGCATATATACAAAGTGTTGGAAAATATACTGAATAATAAAAAGATAGGCTGAATGATAAAGTAATTGACTGGAAATTGAATGTTTATGTTGTTATTATAGAAAGATGAATATCAAAGAGTTAGTCTAAAAATACAAAAGTAAAGAGAAAATTGCTATAGAGGATGTCTAAAAAAAGGAAAAAAAAGAAGTTAGTATATTCCTAATATAGCTGAGAAGTTTGTTCAATTTTTAAAGTAAAAAGAAAAGACAAATTCATATTTTTGACATTAACTCTGTTGAACATATTCATCATTTTGTTCCACTATTTTCCATTATCTGTCAAGTTACTCCATAGTTCCCTGAGAATTTTTTATCTTTCTCAACAAAGAATTGCTCTTGGTGCCTTTTGCAGTCTTTTAAGGATTTTTTTCTTTAAAATAGTTTTTTTTTTTTTTAAATTAAAATAAATGGTAAATCAAAAGTTAAATACTTACAATCATATCACATTGAAACACCAGTTTTTGTTTGATCACCAAAGTTAAGCAGTGTTGAACCTGGTTAGTACTTCAATCAGGGACCACTTGGGAAAACCAGGTAGTGTAAATGAAAACCCAGTACAAAACCTGTTTGGCATGAGGCTAACAACTTCATTCTGGAAAAAATCACCTGCTACAGAAAACAACAGCAACAATGTTCTGCAGCAGCCCATAGGACTTCAGGAGGAGGAGGAGTATGAAAGGTTCAATATTTGGAGAATATGGGAGATAAGTAAAAATTTTCCAGCTGAGCAATAATGATTGTTATCTGAATTTCTTAGATGAGTTATTATTATTTACACTATTTATATGAGGATTATTGTACTTATTTTTGTTGTTGGATATCAGCATGAAAAATAGAATCAATTGGAAGGATGTATTCAAAATTCAAGTTAGTTTGTTGCATCCACTTTCACATAAATGGTGATATTAGCCTTTTCTTTATAAGGGAACATTCGGCATTCATTGACTGAGCAGCCAATACTACTTTTGGTTGAAATTTATAAAATCTTTCTCTTAAAACAATTTTTCAGGAAAATAGGTTTCTCAATTTCAGTAAATGATTACACTCTTTCCAGTATTGTTAAGAGTTTTCTTCCTAGCCTTTTGTTTGAAGTATTGTGGAATATCAACATATTGATTATATTATAATTTTCTCTTTGACTTCCATGTGATATCCATTTTAGTTGTTGCTGCTGTTGATAGTCATGTGGTTTCTGTTATTTGGTACAGTTCTTTGAGGACTCATGTGAAAGAATCACAAAGAAGTGTGGTCTCCACCAATACCCATAGGTTTTAATAGCTCAAAGACATTTTTAACCATTGTTTTTAGAAAGTGGCTGTATACAGCAGACAGTTTAGATATTTCTTAACAGGTTTGATGCCATGCATGGTATCCATATGAAAGTCTTAATCTGTTAAGGTTATTTAAGAACATGATTTGAGTTTTCTAGGAAAGGCATGAATCCTTCCCTTTTCTCCCTTGGCTATGGATTAAATAACATTGTACACTGGAGTTTTTAGCCTTGGTGATATTTTGAGTATGTTAACTAATTACTGCAACATATGACATTCTTGAGTAATGTGGAGTTTAGCAGAAGTCTGAAAATCTTTATACCATTTTTATTCTTATGGCTAATTAAGAAGTGATATTAGGCTACCTCTTGATCAATGAGAATCATTTGCAAGAGCATATATAAAGGAGTGGTGACCTTCTGAACATGAAAATGCATAAATAACTTTTTTTTTCTTTTTTATCAGGTCATCTGCAGAAACAGACATGTCCACAATTCCAGATACAAGGGGAGACAAACACGACACAATTCATTATCTTGAAAAAGACTTCTGCTGTTGTACAATTCAGGTACAGACACTTTTATACACTATACAAATACACAAAGAAAGGTTTGGTTTTATTCACTGGTTGTATCTCAGCTTGCATGAATTGTCTGCCTTTCACTTCTAACCTGCAACTTCTACTACAATTTTAGGGTGAGGTAAGTACTATAATATCAGTTGTGACTTTCAGGCAGAATTACCCTGTGGCTTTGTCTCAATGTAGTTTAGTGAATTACTTTTTAAAAGTTCCAACTCTATTTAATAGCAGTTTATAAAGGGTAACTCTTGTAACAAATATCTTCAATTGATTACTATCAATCTCAAATAGTCTACCCAACTGTGGCTCATTGGTCAATCAGTAATCTGAGCATGAAAATGCATAAATAACTTTTTTTTTTATGATTTGAGTCACATTCTTACCTTTATGTCACAATATAACCAAAATATTTTTTGAATGAAGTCAGCTAAATATAAATTCTCCTAATGTTATCTAATAAAAGAACAAACTTTTTGGTTTATACAACATATTTGTAATGTTATTAATTAAAATCATAAGTAAATAATGTGGTTATCCTGAAATAAATAAAAAACACAAAAGTCTGGCAAATAAAAATTTACTCCTTTTAAAGCAAAGAATAAACACTATGTAGGGACATAAAAATAATTAACTGCCATTACATATAAAGTGTTACATGATAACCGCAGACAAACACGGAAAATATACCCAGGCAGGATGCATTTCCCAGGCAGATGACTGACTAGTTAGCTGTCCATTCTTTATCTCTCATAACCAGAAAAGTAACAACTTCACATGCCTATCTCTAATGAAACACCATGATATTCAAGTGACCATATTTTTTATTGATATTTCCCCTTGTTTATTATTCCTAGTGTGTGATAACATATGGCAACATGGACAACCTTGTTTTTAATGCCCTCTAATAAGACTATCACATATATATAAATGCATTACTCCCTTAAACTAGAGCCCTCATATTTTTTGTACCATTCTGTTTCTGTATTCAGTTCAGCCAACCAAATCTAAGTGAAATTTTCCTTTTCCATCACCAATCCTTATAGCTATATTATTACCTCAGACATAAAGATTAAGAAAGAGGATTTTTCACTGCAGTCTGTATGTTTCCAGTATAAAATTAACCAGTCTGCACTAACTAAACAGCTGTGAACCTAAAATAAATTAAGTAAACCTTTCATTACCTACTATAATGGATTATTAGGGAGACTCGGAACAGTGAAAAATGAGTGACTTGAAACAGATAAGCTTAGAAATTGTATATAAACTCATTAAAGATTAGAATTATTTCCTTGAGCAGTGTCCCTAAATTTTTCAAACAGTTGATACCTTCATGAAATCCTTGATCCCTGCTAAGTACAAGTAAATAAAGTATGTGTGCAAATTACAAAATCCTCCTTTTCATATGCATCAGTGAGAAGAAACTGAATGCCAATAATTAAAGACTGCTGTTCTGTATCCTTTTCTCACTCTTACAAAATATAGTCACACAAAAAGTAAAAACGTTTTGCTATCATTTTGAAAAATCCTTAAAAAATATATTAAATATTGAATATAATGCTAGAATTCAAGACATATGTTCAAACTTATTGAAATACATGGAAATGCAGAATAATAAATATTTTCTGAAATAGAGGGTAATACATTGAGAGGAGAACCATTTTTTTTTCCATCTGGTAATCTATGCTTCTGTTTTAGTAGTAATTAATCATCTTCAGGCCCTAAAAGTACAATCAACAGTCCAGCATTTATTGACTTCCTTTTGTCTGTTTAGCATTTATCAACTCATTGGATAATCCCATCAATCTACAGAAGTTGATATGGATCACTTTAGAGATCCCTGTTCAAGATATTTTGATCTGTAATCTACTAATTTTATCTCTTAGTTAAGGCCCAAAAGGAAGAATTTACAAATATTTCAATCATTGGTAGTGAGATTTCTGAGGCCATGAAATGATTTACAGAATATAAAATAATTATTTGTTTGGCACTGTCCCCACCATCTTATTCTATGATCATTATGGCTCTCTACCTAAGATCAGTGTAGTATCTGTGCCTGATACCTGACCTTTCTGATCTGGAATGATTAGTTATGCTTTCTGACCAAGAAATCTATATAATAATTGTAAGTGTGAAGGAATTTGGAAAAGTTTTGAGAGAAGGGAAAAAAATAACATCTGAAGGAAGAATGGTAGAAAGCTAAAGAAAAACAAAACCAAAACCAAATGAATGGTAATAGTGAGATTAGCCATTTCTTTAAGGAAATATTCAGCATTCATTGACCAAACAGCATTACTGTCAATTGAAATTTATAAAATCTTTCTCTTGAAATAGTTTTTCAGAAAAATAGGTTTCTCAAGTGCTCTGACTGTTATTGCTCTTTCTTGTATTGATGGTGATTTTTTTTTCTTAACCTTTTGTTTAAGGTAGTGCGGAAAGTCAACATCTTCATTATGTCATTAGGAAAATGAAATATCTTTACATAGAAAGAAATGGGGAAAGGAGAGATATGAAAGAGAGACAAAAACATAGGCTTGCTGGCTGGATATCAAGGAAACTGAGCACAAGAATAAAAGAAAAGTAGATATATAATAATAGGAGTAGATAGGTTTGCCTATTGTCCGGTTCACACTCCTCTGCAATCTATTATTGCTCTTTCTTGTATTGGTGTTTTTTTGTTTTTTTTTTGTTTTTTTTTTTCTTAACCTTTTGTTTAAGGTAGTGTGAAATAAGCCTATTGTCCGGTTCACACTCCTCTGCAATCTTTTGAAAAGAAATAGGGGTTTATCCCTTGTTCCTTCTTTAGGATTATGTTTTCAGTTCCTTCTATAGTCTACTCATTCTCTTTCACTCTCAGTAGCCCCTTGCGTCTTAGTGGCATTATCACCTTGCTTGGGGTGAATTGATTAAAAGGCATAAAAATTGTTATACATTAAAATTCTTTATAGAGATATAGCAAAAGAAAGATTAAAAAAAAATGATGTGGAAAATATCTGGATATTCATTATTACTTTTTTGTATCTAGAACTGATCTATTTTGTACAACATTTAGATAAAACATGGATGAGCAATGAAAATAAGAGATAAAATGGAGAATAAAAAAAAGCACTGGGAAAGAGGAAAGATCTAAGAGTTGTCTTTCACAAACTGTTTTATCTGTAAAATCGTAGCTGGGTTTGTATCCCTGGGGATGGTACTCTTGCTGAATATAGGAATATATATGTAATGGAATAGGCGTTATTAAAACTTGGAAATTTCTACTATCATGCAGTGGAAATTGCTCTGTTGTGGTTTTTATTAATTTTCTCTATAAAAATATCTCAACTCCATCCATGTGTACACGATTAAGTGTATCAAACATAAACTATTGATAAAAAGATAAAAATATATTGATAAATTGATCATAATCGATGAAAAGCTAAAGACAAAGCAAGATACAAGTTCAGATGAAGATAGCAGGTATGGAGAAAGAAATCAGAGATAGATTAAGTAATAAGAATTGAATGAGTGGGAAATCTGTGACAAAATAACTTTATAAAATTGTACAAAAAAAGAAAAGAAAACATGATTATGTATGATTGGAAGGGAAGTTCCTGCAGTTTCTAAATAAATTTGATTATTTAGAAACCACAAAAACATTCTTTCCAACCAGATATAAGGAAAGATTGTGTATGACAGAAAAACCATGTGAA